GATGCTGCCGTGGAAGAAGCACAAGTTCGAGCTGCTGGCCGAGGCGCCGCCGCGGCAGGCGTCCAAGCCCAAGGGCTACGCTGTGAGCCTGCACTACTCGGCGCTCAGCTCGCTGGCGCGGGCGTGCCCCGAAGGCGCGCTCAGCCGGGTGGGCAGCATGTTCCGCTCCAAGCGCAAGAAGCTGCACATCACCAGCGAGGACCCCACGTACACCGTGCTCTACCTGGGCAACGCCACCACCATCCAGGCGCGCGGCGACGGCTGCACCGACCTAGCCGTGGGCAAGATCTGGAGCAAGAGCGAGGCGGGCCGTCAGGGCACCAAGATGAAGCTGACGGTGAGTGCGCAGGGTATCCGCATGGTGCACGCCGAGGAGCGCGCGCTGCGCCGCCCAGGCCACCTCTACCTGCTGCACCGCGTCACCTATTGCGTGGCCGACGCGCGGCTGCCTAAGGTCTTCGCCTGGGTGTACCGGCATGAGCTGAAGCACAAGGCGGTCATGCTGCGCTGCCACGCCGTGCTGGTGTCCAAGCCCGAGAAGGCGCAGGCCATGGCCCTGCTGCTCTACCAGACGTCGGCCAACGCGCTGGCCGAATTTAAACGCCTCAAGCGGCGGGACGATGCGCGTCACCAGCAGCAGGAGCTGGTGGGCGCACACACCATCCCGCTAGTGCCGCTGCGCAAGCTGCTCCTGCACGGACCCTGCTGCTACAAACCGCCGGTGGAGCGCAGCCGCAGCGCGCCCAAGCTCGGCTCCATCACCGAGGACCTGCTCGGCGAACAGCAGGAGCAGGACCTGCAGGAAGAAGAGGAAGAGGAGCACCCCGAGGGCTGCCCGGAGGAGGAGGAGGAAGATCGTGCGGGAGAGGGAGATCCAGCCGAGGAGGAGGCCGAGGCGCAGAGGGCGCTGGTGGTGGCCATGCACTTGGGGTGCGGGGACTTGCTGGACACGCTGGAGAATGGCCGCGAGGAGGCGCTGGGGGGCGGCGAGGGTTCGCCGGCCCCGGGGGCCGGGTCGCCGCCTCTGCTGCTAGGCAGCGCCTCCGACATGAAGGCCGAGCTGTCACAGCTCATCAGCGACCTGGGCGAGCTCAGCTTCGGCAACGACGTGCGCACCCTGCAGGCCGACTTGCGGGTGACACGCCTGCTGTCCGGCGAGAGCACCGGCAGCGAGAGCTCCATCGAGGGCGGGGGCCCGGACGCCACCTCCGCCACCGCCAGGGACCCGTCCAGCCCGGCCGACAGCGCCAGCCCAGACGAGCCCCGCTTGGGCTGAGCTCCCAGCAGACCCCTCCGTGCCCCCCCGGCGTCCCCCAGTGGTTCCCGGTCGTGGTCCCGACGATCTCCCGATCCCCGGCCCTCCCTCGGGAAAGGGAACGGGGCAGTTGAGCCCCAGACCTATACGTGGGGCTCAGGTCCAGAGTTCCCCCTGGCCGCTCGCCCCCACACGTTTGGCCCTGTTTCAGGCGGGCTTAGGTGGGGATGTAGGGAGACGTGAGAGAGGCGGCCCTCGGGGCTGAAGTCGCAGGCCTTCGGTGCCTGCCGGCCAGTTTCCTGTTTGTGGGGCTGCTGGGGCCTGCGGGGGAGGGGCTAACTTCCTCCCCCAGCCCCTGGGAGCGGTCTTGCACTGTCATTGACATGCCATTTGGAAAAAAAGAATTTGCGCTCACAATGTTTGAGACTTTAATGCCACCCCTTTGTCCCCAGTTCTTTCTGGTGCGAGAGCTTGGGCTGTTTACCTCAGACTCAGACCCTTGAAATTCTGCCAAATTCCTCAAATAGCTGTTTGGGGGGTGGGGGGATAAAAGAAAATTGCATTTTGTTTACAGTTACAGGCATCTAATAGCTAAAAAAGGAGTTTTCCTTTAGAAACACACTTTCCTCTTGCTCAAAAGATCTCACTCCATGATACTGTGTAAAATATTTTTGCACTGTTGTGAAGTCTTTTTGACATCTTTTTTTTTTTGTACATAACTGTGTTCTCAGAGCTGAATGTTTATATCTTTTGCTGTGCAAAAGAAACATGTAAAATGTTGTTCAGTTGTATATACAGAAATGTGTATAAAACATTTTGTTATTTTTTAAAAAGAAGCACTGTTCTGGTTCTGTTTGCACGCCAGTGGGGAGAGAATAAAGAGGAAATTGAACAGAACAGGTGAGCGTCTCCAGCTGCTCCATGGGGGTGGGAGAGGGTGTGTCCAATCCTGGATTAGGGTGGTAGGACAGTCTTTGGCCTGTGCTTGAAGAGAATGAAGGAAAGTGGATCGAGGCCTTCCTGGACGCCCACAGCTCTGGGTGCTGTGTCTGGGGCCAGCCTTCTCAAGTACATCCCATATTCTTCACTAAGTTGTGCAAGTATAGACTAGGTGTTTTTTGTTTGTTTTTAGTGACAAGGTCTTGATCTGTCATCCAGGCTAGAGTGCAGTGGTGGTACAATCATAGCTCACTGCATGCAGCCACAAACTCCTGGGTTCAAGCAATCCTCCTTCCTCAGCTCTCCAAGTAGCTAAGACTAGGCACACACCATCATGCCTGGCTACTTAATTTTTTTTGTAGAGATAGTGTCTTATCATGTTGTCTAGGCTTGCCTCAAACTCCTGTCTTCAAGGGATCCTCCAGCCTCAGCCTCCCAAAGCACTGGGATTACAGTTCTGAACCACTGCCTAATCTTTCTGGTCTTTTTGAGATAATTTTTAGAGATGCCAGGGTGAGTCCCATTTCCCACTCTCAGACCTGTGAGGATATTTATGGAGGAATGACTTTCCAGGTCTACTGAGGTTTTTCTACCACCTTCTGTGGTCACACTAATGATCAAGTGTAAGGATACTACACAAGCTTTTCCTTTACAAACAGCTCAAGAAGTTTTGATGAGCTAGAAAATGAAAGTCCTCATGGGGCTCTCTGAGGACTGGGACCATTTTTGTTTTTCCTGGGAGGAAAACCAAGGAGAGAGAAAAGTTGACAAGTTCCAATCATGGCGTGAATGAGTCATGGTGCAGGTGGGGTGGGTGGGTAGGCAGGCACAGAGCCCATTTCCTTTGCTTCTTCAACCCAGCGTGACCCGGTGGGGGAATGGCCTGGAGGTCAAGGCAGAGAGGAGCTGTTAGAGCTTGGTCTGGGTGTGCATGTTTTAGTGTTTTCATGCTTTCTGTGTGTTTGTTTCTGTTGTAAACTCCAAACAGATGTCTCTAGTTTGGCTACACCCGATCAGCTGGAAGTTGTAATAAGATGCTGCCAAAACTGTGCCTTCTGCAAATTCTATTTTCCCATTGCCCCTCTGGGCCTCTTTTCCTGTGTTGCAGAAATGGATCTCACTCTTGGCCTTCCCTGGTGTCTTGAGGCCACTTTGCTTTGTTTTCATCATAAATATGTTCTGAGCACAGCCAGACCCAGAGATCCTCAGGAGTCTGGAATTCACAGGAACTGTAGAGGAAAGGAGGGTGAAAGATTTTCTTTCTAATTAACAGGAGTGGTTAAGGCATAGGACTGTTATTTATTTATTTTTGAGTAGGAGTCTCACTCTGTTGCCCAGGCTAGAGTACCATGGCACCATCACAGCTTACCGCACTGCAGCCTCAACCTCCTGGGCTCAGATGATCCTTCTACCTCAGCCTCCCAAGAACCTGGTACTACATGCACCCACCACCATGCCTGTCTAATTTATTTGATTTTCTTTTTTTTGTAGAGATGAGGTCTCACTATGTTTTCCAGGCTGGTCTCGAACTATGGGCTCAAGTGATCCTCCTGTCTCGGCCTCCCAAAGTGTTGGGGTAACAGGCGTGAGCAACCGTGCCTGGCCAACTAGCTTTTAAAAAGTAAAGCAAGAGGGGTGAGTGGGAAATACTTTAAAAAAAATTTTGGTCTCTTCTTAAGGACATTAGGACAAGGTCCAGGCCTTTGAATCTATTATATTTTGGTTTGGTTGAAAGTCCCTGTCCCTCTCCCTGAATACTTCAGATGCGCATCAGTGAATGACATTTAGGAAGCCCCGGGTTAGAGAGGTCAGGAAAGCCAAACACCAGCCCTCATGCACACCCTCCTCACTGCGGTGCCTTCCACCCTAGTGGTCCCACCTGAGCAGCAGACAGCTGTGTGGGTCATCACGTGCCCATGTGACTGGACTGAACATTTCAAACTATTTCCACACACTGCCTAGTTCTCTGCTGTTTAAAACTGATAAGAGAGAAAACAGTGAAGATAAGATGGCCAATACTTGAGGGTTGGACAGGGTCTGTGCGTCTTCATTCTTATCCACTTTATGTGTCCATTGAGAATGCCAAGGTTGGCTTTCATCTGTGACTGATGGACCTGTGGTGATTGGTTAAAAAGTTCAGGCAAATGACATTGAAAACGATACCATAGACAAATATAAGGCAACTGTCTCTTTCAAGTCTGAGTTTTCCTCTTAGGAAATTTAGAAATAGGAAGGGGGACTTGGAGGCTGAGGAGGAGGAAGAAGACAATTTGCAACCACAAAAGAACCAGTTCCCTCCTCCCCACTCCCGGTGCCCTCTGTCTCTCCTCCCTCCCTCTGCTTTTTGGCATTGATCCCCAGTACACCCCAGGGCTCTGACTGATGTAATTCTAGAAGAGACACGAAGGTGATACATGATTCACCTCTCCTTACATCTCAGTCTTCCAGGGATGATATCATTAGAGTAAGAAGAGATGTTTTAAAATGAAAAAAAACTAAACAAAACAAAACAAAAAAACAAATCCTAAAACTAATTTGCTCCTGACACTTGGAGGGAAGAGAGCGAAGTGACAAAAGGAAAACTAAGTAGTTAGAGGAAATGCACGTTCCACAAAGCACCTAAAGTCTGGTTTACTCATCAAATTTAGCTTTTCCTTCTTGCAGTGTGAAGCTCGTGTTTCTCCTTGACGTAACCTGATGGGACTTTATGCAGTGAGACACTTTCCACATTCTTTCCCAGCCTAAGTAATCCTCCGTGTTCAACAATGCATCATTGACTGCATGAGAAACAGAGTGACTTCCGGTGGCAAGAACGATCATCTCGGGGGTGGCAGTGAGAGTCCACAGAGGAAGAATTCATCAGCCTCTCAGCACAAACATCCTATGTTGGTTTCTACAATGTGTTGTGTACGTTGAGGCAGAAGGTGGGAAGAGTAGAATGGTAGAAAACAAACATTAGTATTTCATACTCCTTTGACCATTATGGTTTCAGAGTACACCCCCTACGCGCGCGCACACGCACACACACACACACACACACACACACACACACACACACACACACACACACACACACACACACAGAGTCTTCCCTAAAGAAAACATCCCTCTCACCACCTCCGCAGTCAGCAAAACAGTAGATTTTAAACAAATTAGAAATGCTCTGTTATACTAAGAAAGCACAATTCCCTCGCAGAGGACAGACCTGCTTTTGAGGGTTCTGCTTGTGAACAGAGAGAGAGAACTGGCTGGTGGAATCCACCCCAGACCCCACATTGATGCTTAAAAAAAAATCTTATTGGAGTCACCAAGGATCACGAGAAACATAAAAATTCTATTAGGAGCAAGTTGCCCTGTTTTCCAACAGGATTTGGTAATTTCATAAGCAACACTCTTTCCTCCGTGTGGTATGCATCAGTAGCCCCAGCATCTGCTGGTAAGTGATGCATGGCAGAGCTAGAAATGTGCATGCACTGCCTGGGCCAAGAGCCACGGCAGGCACATGGAAAAGCACTCAGGGCTTCAGGCAGGCAGGAGGCCACTGGCCCAGGGTACAGTGCACTTTCTGTTCCAGATTTTTTTTGCACATGGCCACTGTCTTAGTCCACTTAGTGTTGTTATAAAGGAATACCCAAGACTGGGTAGTTTATAAAGAAAAATGGTTTACTTGGTTCATGCAGGCGGTACAAGAAGCACGGCACCTGCCTCTGTATCTGGTGAAGGCCTCAGGCTGCTTCCACTCATGGCAGAAGGGAGCCAATGTGTGCAGAGAAGCGAGAGGAGGCAAGAGAGAGCGGGGAGGTGCCAGGCTCTTTTTAACGATCGACTCTCTTGGGAACTAATAAATAGGGGAACTCACTGACTACCCCCCACTCTGAGGGCATTAATCCAGTCATGAAGGATCTGCCCCCATGACACAAGCGCCTCACAATAGGCTCCACCTCCAACACTGGATCAAACTTCAAATTTCAAAGGTTTGAGGGGACAATCATTCAAATAGCAGCAGTTGGGTCTGGGTCTGGCTTTACTGGTAGCTGGGGCCTTCTCTGTTCTTGCTGGTTCATCTCTGTTCATAGCTCCCAGTGTCCCTGGGACCTATCCCCTGCTGCCATCTCTGAAGTGACCCAATTTGAATAGCCTTGACTAATCCCCTTTTTGGTGACTTGAAAGGGTGGGTGGCCCAGGAGCTTGGTACTCTGTCCTCTCTTTGGGTGTTCAATGCTACCAGCAGAGGCCCTTGTTTCTAACACCCATGGAGAGCAGCCCTCTGATGGCCTTCTTTGCTGCCCTTCTCTTCACCTCTCCCATCCTTGCCTCCTGTTAACATATTCCTAGCCAGGCTCGGTGGCTCAGCCTGTAATCTCGCCCCTTTGGGAGGCTGAGGTGAGTGGATGGCCTGAGCCCGCGGGTTCGCGACCCGCCTGGGC